TTAACGTCTCCCCTTACGAATGGAAGTTGAGGAATGTCTGATTAGTTTTAACTAATTAATGGAATTCGAAAGAAATAAATATGTTAGGGTATTTTCATAAAGAACACATATTGTCGATTTCATGTACTTCGGGAGGCAATTTGTCAAGAAAAAAAGTTTATGGAAAAGTCAAAAAACAAGTATACTTGAAGTTAATCTTTTTCCCTTAATTTGAGAAGAATCATGTGAAGTTGTTGCAACCAAAACTACAGGGAACAATATAAGTAGACTCACAAAATATACGTGCCATATAATTAATTATGCGTGAACAAGTAATACAAATTGCAAAGTCATCTGAAGAGACCAAGCGCAACATCAATTTGGTATTGCTATATGTATTTTCTACCGATATGGATTAACACCTCAATAAAGTTGTGTGGAATGTTATTAACACTCAAAAAAAGCAAAGTCACACCAACAAACGCCCTAGTCAAATTGGTGCTCGCGGATACCAGTTACATTGACACAACGCTTCTAAAGAACATTGTTTCCGATCTCAAACATAAAACAATTGTGTGTGCCGATCTCGCTTCAAGTGATCTAATTCTAGGTCGAGAATTTTTCATGATGATATTATTACTTCGCATGTGAACCCTATACTTCCACATCAACACTGACCAACAAAATATAGCTTCCTTCGTGTCGATCTAAACACCTCGTGCAAAAAGATTTATCCCCCAGAACCGGTTCACACCGCCCAAAAGCAGTTCACACCTCCCAATCGAACGAGCACAACAACCATAAAATCAATTTTTGAAAGGTGCCCTGCCACATGTCGCTTTTCATGAAGCAAATATCTTAGATGTGTGTCGCACGTCCAATGGCTCATCAAGTAATAACGATGAATTTTCGTGTATAAATAGCATATAGTTCGCACATCAAATACATGAACAAAAAATGGGAGAAAAACCCTTGGAAAAAGAAGGGAAAAGAACACAGAGAAAAATCCCATCAAAGGAAAATAAAAAGTTGTTTATAAGCAAGAAAAATAAAAGTCAAGTGTATTAATGCAAGCACACAATTCGTCCATAATCTCTTTATCTTCTCGCACTTTGTCTTTTAAATTTCGCAATTACTGCTCAGTAATCTTGTTGGTGAAAATTAATTACTGCTCATGTATATGGAGAGAAAATTAATTGCAATTGTAATCATAATGTGACGATCAAATATGAATTATACGTTCTGCAAAATAAAAGTATATCTATAGACCCGACTAATATTCACATTAAAATTTCATATAACTATCTCATACTTATCATCACTTGTGTTTTTATATGACCAGACTGTGTCTACATATGCATCGAGCACAAAACACATAAATATTTTTACGGAACATATATGTAATTTTAGAATTATTCTCCCCAAAGAGAGGTTGTTATGACAAAATGATTATTTGATGGGTTAAATTAAAAATTATTAGCCAATTAATAAAATTATAAAATTATAAAATCTGTATATATATATATAATAAGAATAACCATTTACTAAAAATAGTAGTAAAAAATTTTGGTAGCATTTAATGCATGCCTTTTTTGGAAACTTATTAAATATATGCATTAATTGCTTCTATATACACGTTTTCAAATAAGATCAAATCAGATATGATAAAATATTGTTTCCTTAAATATTTTTATTAACATAGACAATAATTTCATTGACATCCATTAAAAAAATTACAAGATTGATTTTCCGTGATTCATGTCGATAATATTTTGGTCAAGATAAATATTACAACATACTTTAAGTTCTAACCATAATATTATTTTTTTCACAAATATTCACTTTTATTTTGATTTCTTTCTATACTGAAATTCTTGTAAACTATATTTCCATTGTTGAGTATGCTAAATAAACTATAAATACTTATAATGCAAATTAGAAAAACATTGACTATAGAAGGGGTTGAGCTTTTGTCATTTGATAAATCAAAGTTGTTTACTTAGTATATAATTTAAATTCTAGAAAAACCTGTGTGTATATTTTGTAAAATATTTATATACTTTTTAATTTTAAATTTATTTACATATTTCAAAGTGATTACATAAATAAATAATACTAACGTGCATTAAATAATTTTCATTACATAAAATAAAAAGAACAAGAAGACGTAAAACTTTTATAACTTTTATAAATAATAATGACATTTATGACAACAAAGTTTATAATAAAATAATGATTCACTATTATATGGTGAACAAGAATAAGTAAAAATGTTATTCTCTCTTATATCAAAGAATAAATATGTATACTAAAATCAAATGAATATTAGTATAAATGTGTTAGTGAGATAATATATTAATTATTTTACAAGTTAGCCCTAACATGCTCATATTTAATGTTCTGGCTAAAAAAACAACGCTGATTCAAAGAGGTGAAAAATAGATTATAACCCTATTGTTTTTTAGACTTAACGCTGATTAAAAGATGTGGAAAATGAATGATAACCCTATTACTTTTTAGACTTAAACAGACAGAGCCTGTGAAAATAACTCATTTAATATCTCTGTCCCGTGCATCGCATGGGGTACGCACTAGTAAGAATATGGTTAATTCATGTTTAGAAAGCATTTCCTGTCAAAAGCATTAATTACTTACTATAGATGGAAATAATATATTATAAATTTAAATAAAAAAAATAAATCATTAATGCATAGCTTCTATATAAATCGGCTTTCAGTTTATGGTTGTTTTAGTGAATTCTCAGTTTCCTATATTTAGTTATTTTGTAGGAAAAGATTATGTAAATAATTAGGGAGCCGATTTTGGAATTCTCATTTATTGAGGATTCTTTTTTATTTTAGCATATTTATTTATCGTTGATTTGGATTAGTATATATGTTATATACACAAAAACCAATTTTATAGTAATATTTAGATTTATATGACGCCAATTTTAAACTCTCATCTATAGAGGATTCTTTTTTATTTTATCATATTTATTAGAATCAACGATTAGATTGACATGCGTTATATACACAAGATACATATTTATAGGAATATTTAAATTTGTTTATGAAGTAATGATTTGTTATCAGATATATAAAAATAAGATGTCCACAAATCCCTTTTTATGGTATTTTTTCTTACAATTGTTTTTCAAAAACAAAATTTTTAAAATTTTGTATAGTAAATCATATTTCTATTTTTTGCATTGACAAATATAAATATGTTATGCAAAATCTATATAGATATATATAAATTTACTATATAAAAGTTTTCATACATATAATAAGGTAGTTATCCAATCAAAAATGGTTCAACTAAATAAAATAGCATGAATCAATGTCTAATTAATAATATTTTTATATTTTATATCTACTACAAAAATAATAATAAATATTATTTTACTAATCAAGTATAATTGATATTAAAATGATAAACTAGCAGCTAATTTGTCGATCTTCTTGGTAAATTATCATACTATAAACAGATCATTCTGATATTAGGGTTCCATTTAAGTTTCAGCGGCGCCAATTCTTATTTATAGTTTTGTATGTCATTAGGATAAAGAAAAGCCAGTGCCGGTCTTTATCGTACGTTGACATGTTCTTAAAAAAATCGGGTTTTAGTCACGCTAATTATATGTTGTTGTTTCGCGTGTAAGTAATAGAAAGTGGTAGAAAAACATTAGTTTGTGGGAACGATGAGTTGCCCAGTAATCAAACTAATAATATTGTGTACAATGAAATTTTTAATCATATATTACTTTTTTCATGAGAAACATTTTATGATTTGACAATTTCTCTACGTATTATCACTATTTTATTTATTAATACACTTCAAATTATAATATTCCCCAAAATAAATACAGTCTGTGCATCACACAGGTTACATACTAGTTCGTTTGTAAAAGTTGAATGTTATTTATTTGGAAGTTTCTTCATTACTGCATAATTACTTATTGTGGAATTGACGGGAGAGATTGATTGTCCTAATATTTATGAAAAGAATATATAAAACCCAATAGTAATTGTATGTATACATGAGATCTAGCCCAACATACATTAACCAACTTATAAATCAAAATGTCCCATAAATGACACATAAGGCCCTAGTTAATAAGATGGGAGAGAGACCCTGCTCAAGTCTGTTTTAGGAGCTCTGCCTATCTTTGTGATGTCTTGCTTCAGAATCCTAAGTCTGTTATTAAGGATTTGAACAGGGATATGACAAACTTTTGGTGGGGGTAAAAATGATACTGGGGGTAAGAGGATCCACTAGGCTTCTTGGGATAAATTGACCTAACCAAAAGGGGAAGGCGGGTTAGGTTTTAGGGATTTGAATGTTGTTAATGAAGCTCTTTTAGTCAAAGAGACCAAACCAAATCTGCTTGTTAGTAGAGTTTTAAGGGGCAGGTACTTCTGGGGTGAGAAACTGTTAGATGTCAAAGCTAAAGGGATTGACTCTTGGCTATGAAAAAGTTGGTTGAGTGCTAGGAATTCTCTGAAAATAGGCCTTAGGTACAAGGTTGTGGATGGTAGGTCTATAGAGGTATAGAATTTCCCTTGGATTCCACACAGTCCTTCTTCTATTCCTATGTGTTCTTTCCAGGGTGACAAGAGTAGATTGGTGAGGGTCAGTGATCTTATGGTTGCTGGGAAAAGGGAGTGGGACAAGGATTTGGTTTATCAAACTTTTAACCCCTTTGTTGCAGGTTTGATCCTCAAGATTGCTCTTGATCCCTTTGAATCAAGGGATAAAATTGTTTGGCACTGGGTAACAAAGGGGAATTTCGGTCAAGGAAGCTTACAAAAATATCCTTCACAAGCAATCCATCTGGCAGAATCATGCACCTAGCTCTTGTTCTAGGAAGAGTGAAACTCAAAGGATGTGAAATTTACATGGAATTGCCAATTCAGAGGAAAATCAGAAACTTTTTGTGGAGATGCTGGTTTAATCTTTTGGGGACCAAAGTTCGATTTAAGCAGAAATGAGTGGATATGGAATTGTTTTGTGAGCTGTGTGGAGCTAAGGAAGAAGATCTAAATCACACTATCTTCAATTGTGACAAAGCCTAGAGATGTTGGAAGATATGTCGTTTATCTTGGAGTCTGTTGGGAGATAGCAAAGGAGACTTTAATAGATGGTGGATTGAGGTTAGTAGTGGTAAAAGGGGATCTTGCTGGGAGGAGAGAATAGGTTTATCTGCTTATTTAATGTGTCCTTTATGGAAGGCAAGGAATGATTGGGTATTCCAAAAAGTAAAGGTGATGGACAAGGACTTGGTAGAAAAAGCAAGGCAAAGTTGGGGAGAATTCATAGCTGCAAATTCTAAGGGGAAGAGAGGTAACAGAGCTGTTCGAGAGGAGGATTTAAAAAGTACTAGCAACCCTGAGGTTGAAGTAGGTCAGCTATGTATAACTGTCAGTATTTGGCAATCATCTCAAGGTTCACTTGGAAGAGAGTGTGTGGCAAGGAGAGATGGCAAAATCCTGAAAACCTGTACTCAAGAGGGAGTATGCTCGGGCTCAGAGGAAGAAGATCAATTGGCAGAAATAAAGTGGTGTATGGAGCTGGCCAGAGGGCAGGGTTGGACTAATTTTGCCTGTTTGATTGATCAACAATCCATCATGCAGAAACTTACTACAGGAGCTGGGTTCTTCCCTCATTTGGGTTGTCTTAGTGATGAAATTGGGTATTTTTCTTCGGTTGTTTGTTGTTGTTCCTTTTATTTTGGTGGGAAATTGTGTGTTGTTTCTAGGAACTTAGCCATTGAGGCTTCTAAGGGCAATATGTGATGATTTGTCCCGGGGAAGCCTACTTTGAGTTTGTTCGAAGTAGGCTACTGTAACCATTTGGTCGCTCGGTTGTACTTGTACTCTTCTTTGAGTTATATTTAAGTCTTTTATCATTTC